CATTGTTAAAATATTTTGCAGACTTGTAGTAGAAGCATTTTGTTTATTCTGTACACAAAATACTAAGTTGCTATAGATTTTGTAGCCGGACTGCTGTCCAATCTAATCCAAGTGTACTAATCCAATGAAACTCATTATCGACTGCGATATTTTAAATATGATGAAATATAAACCCCCGTAATTATACAGGGGGTTTAGTACGCTATATTAAAACGATTTTGAATATGTAAATCAGCAAAATCACAGTCGATATAAAGTTGCGGTGTATCAGAACTACAATTTGTATTGTATGGCGTTACGTAGGGAGTGTGATGCCACAGAATATTGATCGATTTTGGAAAGGGTATATAACAACCCTTTACGGCGCAAAACATTCATACACTCAGATCATAAAGATGTGTTTAGGTCGGGGATTTAGAATTTACAACACGGAGACATTCCCTGCACTTTATGGCATTGGAAAACAAAATAATATGAATCACATGTGGCGAGGACCATTAAGAAAAAGGCTTACAAGTAGTCGTACCTCTAGTCGAGGTAAGCAAAGTGCGGCGCCTTATAAACAGTGTGCATCCACTAACACAAAGGTCAGTGGCATGAGCTTTCCACGTGCTTCAAGCAACAGTACGCAGTGGGGTCAAAAAGGATCTCTTTCTGGAAAAGCAACACAAGTCATAAGTAATATGCACACAAATTGCTTGCACGACATATCTGATGTTGAAATGTTGCATACTTCAAGCGGCTAGGAAGTGAAATGCTTATTAACATTGTTTCGTATAAAGACATAATGGTCAAGTCGCCGGACGCAGGGCCTAAGGATTTGTGTGCGATCAGACTGTTGAAGTGGGCGCTGGAAAACCGTCGTCTTCGTACATTTCATAAATTATAGAAACATCAGAGAGGCGGGATGTGCTTCGGACATGATAGTCTTACGATGGAGCTTTTGCAGTGAAAACTACGCTGCAGGGCTACTGTCAAGATGAATGGCCGTCAGATAGAGCATGACCGGACGTGGTGACATACAAATGATGTTAGACTGACTAATGATTTATATATATATACTCGTAAATGAAGAACCACCAAAGTGAACACAGAATTCAATATTGAATGATGAAGAGGAGGCACTTCGTTTATCATTCAATACTGATTGGTATAGGAACACCACACTTGACAAGTTACTGGATGCTAATGATCAAAGAGCAGCTACATTTGGCATGTCATTGTACTTCACATATCCTGACATTGGATCATTTGTGGGAGTCAAGATCACAGACTGTTTTTTGAATAGTGTGTCAGATCTAAATCAAGGGTCAGTTTCTTAAAGATATATCAAAACATGGGGTGGCCTTTTAGGTTTCAACTTTTAGTCCTTCCATTATCCTGTTATTTTTGTTTCATTTATGTTGCCAATCAGTACGTCTACTCGTATTTAATTTATCTCATTAACTGTGCAGTTCCCTATTACTCGGGCTGGCCGTGGCCTAATGGTTAACGTGCCTGGCTGCGTATCGCAAGGTCCAAGGATTGAAAAACGATGCCTCTCATCGCCCTTCAGTTGTGGGCGCGTTATAAAATTACAACCAACTCCGTTAATCGGTTTCTGGAACAAGATAAAGCTTTTATGGCAGCGGGAGCCACTGACTGCCTGCCCTCACTCCCTCTGATCGGTAGTTCAAAAGTATGGACGGCTATACCTGAATCCTAGGCATTTTAACCCAGCCGTTTAGCCTAGGTACGAATAAAGTACCATTCCATTTAGATTGAAAAACCAATACGAACCTTTTAGTCCCCACTTATATTACATAATTGTTGACGCAGGTAAGAAAACAATGTACTAAGATAAATTATTTTTATTCTCTCTGTATAAAAAGACAAGAATCTTCTAAAATAAGGCCTTAAATGTGTAAATTAAATAGTTTATCTTATATATACATATAAAAGCGATACAGTTAATAGATCGGATTGGGCATGGCTTAGCGGTTAGCTTGTTCGGACCGTGGGCTTATGGTTCGCATCCAATTGTCACAAAATAGCGTTCCGCAGTCTAGAACTATGGGGGCTCTATAAGAGCGACGGTCAATCCTTACTATTTTCTCAGACAAGAATAGCCCAACAGTAAAAACTGGATGCCTTTGATTAGCTGCCTTCCCTCTAGTATATCAGTTCAAAATTAGGGACAGCTATGCATGTGCAGACAGCCCTTGAACAGCATTGTGTGAATAACCAACAAATATATTAATTAGTAGAATAGTATCGTAAACACCCACTACGTTTAATTTTAGTACAAGGTCTTAATCAAA